GCCCATACGGGATTCTGGCACATGCAAGGCAGACTTTAGCCACTAGTCCCCCTCCTTTGTCACAGTTAGCATTTTTGCCAGATTTCACAGCTGTGTGCAACACCGGACTGGATTCTCAGCCCGCTGGATTGGTAAGAGAATGCTTTGTCACCCCAAGTGGACTGGGGTGACACTGGTGGTCAGTTTCCCTCCCCTTGCAGGGCCTGAGTTTTGTGGGATCATTCTGGGTCACCTCTCTTTAGGTATCCAGTTGGGCCAGTTCATCTCAATTGCACTGTTCAGTTTCTCAGTGTGGGGAAGGCCTTGTCCACCATGACTTGGCCCCGGGACACTGGTCTAAGTCCTGACTAGGCCCCCGGATGCTGGTCTAAGTCCTGACTGGGCCCCAGGACGCTGGTCTAAGCCGGGGACTCCCTCTCACTAGCCCACTGGTTCTTCTCTCAGAGGACTTGTAGCTGGGTTCTACCTTGGGGTGCATCTTTTCTTGAGGGACGCCTTGTGAAGGCACGGGTTCCTATTTTGTCATTTCAGTAGACTCCCTCCTTGGCCCCCGGCCAGTCTCTTAAAAACCTTACACAAGTTAGTCCCAAAGGGGGAGATAAAAGCAATGAATTTATCTTTGTACTAAAACTTGGCCTTAACAACACTGTGGTCTTGGGCAGCTAGTTCAGGGTCAGGAGCTTAAAAGCCACACTTCCCCCACCTACCTGGTCCTTTCTTCCCTCCTGTGCTGTTCACCTATCATCACCTGGAACCTGAGAGGGGGCGGTATTATGTTGTTGTGTAACCACACCCCTCACAAGCCCCCATAAAGGCCCATGGTAGGGAGGTGCATGCTTCTGCTGCTTTAGCACTCCCACTCTTTGCCTCCCAACACCTTGCTTGCTCTCTGGCTTGCTGTGGACAGACTCTGAGGACAAGTAGCCCCTGAGCATGGCCCCTGTGTCTGTATTCTTCACCCTCTGTTCATTGCTTGGGTGAATCAGTGAAGATGGTAATGCTAAGATGTTTTGCAGTTCTAATTTGCGTACTTTCAAGAGTTCCAGGAGAGGTGAGGCCTAGCAATATGGGGTTTTGACTTGTTCCTTCATTTCTCCTTTACTCTAAGATGGGAAGTGATCTACTCTGAAGAACTCTCAGGATGTACAGTTTGATTTCCAGATCTTATAAAAGGCATGGCTAGCCTTATATGTATACAAGGTCACAATGTAAAAGACCAACTAGCCTGGCCACATTATGGAAGACTATCAGCATAGCCAAAGTGAGAGCTTACATTACAATCTGATTTCACAGTTATAGACCTAAAGATAGGTCGGGTTAGATGATCAACCTAGCCTTATACTACCTGGAAGGACACGGCTCTCTCCCCATGAGCACTGCCCTATCTCACAGTGAAGCTGGCAGAAGATGCCCATGGCCACAGATTTCTAGCTCAGTCCACTGAAGACTCAGGGGTAGAAGTGAGCATCCCCTTGGCTGATGTTCTATAGGCTGCCTCTGGGGTCCACTTATCCAGAGACCAGGAGGAAAAAGAGTGAGGTAGGCAGCAGGAGGCCCATGAATGTGGCTTTACCCCGTATTCTGTCATCGAGGAGCTGCAGCAAGGCCAGCGCACCCTCAGAGTGCACCTGTTTGTGAACAGTTTCCCGTGAGAAGCGGCTTTCAAAAACCACTGCCAGCTCCGCCAAGAGCCAGGCCCCACTAGAAATGGAACCCCCCGGGGGTCGAAGGACTCCTGGACTGGGACTGCTGTAAGCCACAAGCTAAAACACCCTTCACTCTGCCCAGCATGCAAAACAACCATTGTTATGGAAGGGGAGAGGGCTTAGGTTCAGTAACATCACAGGTGAACTTCCACTAAAGACACTGCCTGTTCTGCACTGTTCTATTCAGACCAGCCCTATTCTTAGTCTAGCCAGGTATTGGGAGTCAACAGGATGACTCCCCTAAGGAGGTTCACACTTGCTTTGTGATGGTTCTTCCAGTACCCCCACAAGAAGAAACAGATGGGCCTTGTATACACCTGGCCAGGCCTTCCCACCCTCCTAATGGTCAAACCCTTTCTATCAAACTTGTGTTTACCTCTCAATTAGAAAACCTCCTCTGAATTTACATAGCTTTTCTGAGTCCTCTGAAGATTCTTTTATTTTGGACTCCCCTACATGTGATCAGTTGCTTACATCTCTTTTCTCCAGACCGGAAGTGATAAAATTCCAGGTGGCCATACACATGAAATTTCAGAGGCAGTGTCAGCTAGCTGGTGCTGCGGTCCCTTCGAGAGGCCACCTTCTGCTAGAACCTTGGCTTAACCACAGGTCCCTCCTTTGTTCCTACTCAGCTCTGGGAAGCCAGAACTGTTGCTTTAAGCACGGACAGCAACCAGAGTTTCCATAGGCAGAGGGAGGACCAAGGGGGTCCAGGACTAGAAGCAGGCCAGACTAACTCCATCCCATAGCTCTCAGCCAGTACACTGAGCAGAAGAGTGTTGGCTGGGTGGAGCAGAAGTGATTCCCGTGAGGACCACCCTGCAGAAGTCCTGCCTTCTCAAGCAGACACTCCCATCCAGGAATGTTTGGAATGCACTGCCTGGACCACCCTGACCTTGACCCAGGCAGCAGAAGTCATTGACACCCGCCATGATGAGCGCCTTGTGTTACACGTCTAACACATGCTAGGAGCAAGGAGCTTCTGCCTTACCTCATTTTCTCCCAGCCTCCACCCTAAGATGTCTAAAACCCCAGTGCTGTAGACCCTAGGTGACCACTCACATATACATAGTCACCCCCAAGTGGATGTGGTGGTCTCTGGCCATCGAAATGATCTATTAGACGCTCTCCCCTGACTGATGGAAACCCTTGGCTGGACTAACAGCCTCTCAAACATGTCTCCCAACCTAACAAGGAGGGTCATTTATTCCCCCTCTGCCATAATCAAGCATACATCTAAATTCCTACTAACTGGACAAAGATTTGCTTTTCCCCTTTCATCCTAAAAATAAATAAATAAACCGACAAAAAAACCCCACACAAAACATGTACCCATATAGCCCCGCCTCATTTGGCTATCTTTTCTGCCATCTTAACTGCTTTTTATATTTTGGTACCTCTTTCTCAACATTTGGGAACCCCATTTTCTGTGGCACTTTCCGAACAGAAACCACACCCTCATGATATAAAAGCAGGACCCAGCCTCTTGCCTGTTCTCCTTAAACCACAATGTTCTTGCTGGTCCGCTACCAAGAGGAATTCACTGACTTGAAGGAGTGACCCAGCTGGCCCTCATCACCAGATTCAAGGAGTCCTTTGCTTTTCCAACAGGAACCTTGATAGCCAGAGTGGTCCTGGGCTGGTGTGGGTAGGCAAATTCCAGGTCCAGGTAGCACATAACTGCCACCTGCACGTAGCTCCAGACGCACAGGTGCCCACCTGGCCATTGTGCATTCCCCCATGAACAGGGCATCCCTGACCACTCAGAGAAAGGTCACGAGCTCCACAGACCGACCAGGAACTTGGATGTGAATGGAGCACACACCTCTCAATCTATTAGAACCATTACCCTCACTCCCCAGGAAGGCCGGGAATTAAGTAGAAGCTGCCCAGCTCTTATAACAAACACCTCCTTCCTTCCACCACCCCCATGTCAGAGATTGGTCTTCTGTGTATTAGTTGAGCTGACCCGGTTTGGGGGGTGGTTCTACAGCAATGCTTCGAATGAGGCCTAGCTCTGGCAGAGGACAGCAAATCCGCCTAGTCTCATCCATCCATCCTCCAGACAGACGACTTTGATCCACCTCTCTCACCAACTCCCAGAAGCCAGCACAGTGATTGTCCCAGTTTACAGACAACAACGTGAGACTAGAAGAACAGAGGTCCAAGGTCCTGAGGTTGGTAAGCGGCCTGGGAGGAGCTGGAGTTTTGGAAAGGTGGCCAATGCCTCATTCTAGCACTCATAGTTTTTCTCATATCAAGAAAGTCTAGTAGTTTGGATAAAGTCACACCAAAAAGAAGGAAAGAAAAAATAGTAATAAAACTTCTGTGTCCCAGCTCTGGGTGTCCCTGACACTAGCTGTTCCCGCCTCCTCACTCCCTCCCTGGGCCCAGGTGGACCCTTCCTCCAGGCAGCTCGCCCTGGTCTCAGCTGACCCCATGCTGAATGATGTGCCACTCAATCACACCTCCTATTCTATTTTCGTGGACATTCACTACCTCCCCGCCAGCTGCTGCAGCAGGTTTCTGCCAGCTTAGCGCCCGCCCTCAATGCCCAGACGGGGCTGGGCACAGGTGAGAGCCCCAAGGGGAACCTACAACTCCAACTCCTTCCATCTCAATCTTCCCGACCTCAGCCTGCAGCCCTCTGATCTGCAGGTGGCTTTTTTTGGAGAGTCCAAAAGAAGTTAGGGTTTCAGATTCCAAGGGGTCTAGGATCCAGTTCTTCTGCCAGTACTCACTGTGTCACTCCTTTCTCTGAGCTTCCCAAAGAGGAGAAGGCTCCAAAGGGGTTAAGGCCAGTGGTGCACATGGGATGCAGTGGTGTCCCAGAGGAAGCTCCAGCTGTCCCCTCCCCGTGAGAAGCTGGTGGGAAGACCAGCTCAAGTGCATTACACATTGCACCTGCTTTCCTGGTTCAGGATGTGGACATATACTGCCTCGTTCCGCTAGGGCAGGCACTATAGTAGCCCTGGTTTTCATGAGCAACCCTTAGAGAGCTCCAGTGACCTGACCCAGGCCATACAGCTCTGCACTCATTGAATTCGGTCGCTGTGACACCAAGCACACAGACAGTAGTTCTGAAGGGCAGTCGTTCTGGCAGAAGTGAGGCAGGATGGGACACTGGGTCCCCAGCGTCGCAGGGAATGGGCAAGAGGGAGCAGGCACAGGCAGAGAGGGTGGAGGGGGTATGGTGGGACCCGGGTAGATTGGGTCTTTGGCGATCTGGCACCGGGGGCTTAGGAGGAAGAGAGGGTTCCGCGGGGATCGGCGCAGCGGCAGAGGAGGCGTTACCTTGGGCGGGAGCGCGAAGACCACCGGCAGCAGTGCGAGCGGCGCCAGCAGCAGCACCAGCGGCCGCCGCACGCTCCACACCTTCTTAGCCAGCGCTGCCAGCGCTGCCAGCGCCGCCATCAGCGCGATCGCCCGCGCAGCGCGCCCGGGACTGGCCTTCCCGGGCTGGCGTGGGCTTAAAGCCCGGAGGAGGGTCCGGGGAGGGGACTGCGCTGTGAAGCCCGCCCTCGGGGTCGCTCCTCCCTGGGACCATGTGCCGGAGGCCAGGGAGGCTGGGAAAAGTTCAGCGCAGGAACCAGGGGGCCAGGACCAGACAGCCACCCAAGCGGTGTGGCCTTGGGGTCAAGCATCGCGGCGGCCTGGGGCAGCTGGCTTAACCTCTCCCCGCCAATGTTTACTCGCTTGTGAAATGGGCCATAAGGACTATGGGAGGATTAAGGCTTCTGTTAGGATCTCCTGGATTCAAAATCTGGCTCTGCCGACGCAGATCAGCTGTGCCGACTGTGCCTCGATGTACCTGCCTGACGCGAGGCTTGCGCGGGACGTGCTCAGCGCAGTTCGAGCCAAAGCAGGTGCACAGGGCAGTGAGTCGTCCATGGATCCCAGGGAAACGTTCTCGTTCCTCTTGCACAAATGAACGGGTGTGCACTCCCTGGGCTGTGTCCCTTGCGTGTCCAGCAGTGATATATAATATCCTAACCGCATCCTTAACGGCACGGGGCGGGAGTAGGGGTGGGGTGAGGGTCGCAGCCACTTTTTATTTTAGCTGTTTTGACAGGGATGCAGTGACATCTTCCTGTGGCTTCTAATTCTTAATTCCCCGATGTTGAAGGATGTGGAAAGCCTGCTTGTGGGCTAATTTGCCACCTGTGTATCCTCTTTGGTGAATGATCTCTTCCTGTTCTTTGCTTTGTTTGGCACTTGGCTGTTGAATTTTCGAAGTTTTTTATGCCTATCTAGCCGTCATGGTTTGCAAATAATTCTGCCCAGTCTGTAGCGTGTTGCTCCATTCTCTTATCAGAGCCGTTGAGAGAGACACTTTCGAATTTCGATCCAGTCAAATTTAAACCTATCTTTGGATTATTCTTTTGGTCTCAAACTCTTGAGCAGCCCCCCAATACAAGAGAGTATCTGGCTTTTTAAATTTCTTTTTCTGGACGTTTCATGGTTTCAGAATTCTGTTCCCATTAAACAATAACTCCCCATTCCCTCCTCCCACGGCCTCTGGCAACCCGCCTGCTACCTGCTGCCTCTGGGAATCTGAATAATCTAGGTACCTTATATAAGTGGTGTCAGGCAGCATTTGTCCTTTTGGAATTAGCTTATTTAACGTGTCTTCAGTGTTCCTCCATGCTGTGTCCAATGTCAGAATTCTCTTCTTTGTTAAGCCTGAATGATATTCCATGGTACTGTGATTTCCTTATCTATTCACTAGTTGGTTAACACTGGGTGGTATCCATCCTGTGGCAGTTGTGGCTAACACTACCACCAATACGGAGGTTCAAACACTTGCCGGAGTCCCTGCTTTCCAGAACCGGGGGAGCTGGATCATGGGCCAACTGAATGCTTTGTTTCATTTTGTTTTTGAAGAATGGCCTTGCTTCCCTTGGACACTGACATTCCCACCAGTAGTAGCCAAGGTCCCAACTTCACGCACGCTCACTAACACTGACTCTGAGTGTTTGGGTGGGGAGGGGATGATGGCCATTGTAGTGGGCATACAGGGGCCTCTCATTGTAGTTTTGATGTACATCTATTTCCTTGTTGACTGCTGGTGTTGAGCAATCTCTCATGTTTTTGGGTCATCGTATGTGGCTTGTTTGGAGAAATGTTCATCCAAGACCTTTGTCCATATTTAAATGGAGATATTTGCTCTCGGGTGTTTGTGTGGTCCCTTATTGCTTGCTCTGGGCATAACCTCATATACACAGAGCTTATCATAGTCTACTCATGTTGTTTTACCAGACAGTGTTTACTGATAGGATGCTACTTCCAGTGTAGGATAGACACTTTACTTTTATGGCCCTTTGCCTTATTGTTTTTCAATGTTCCCTCCACATCCATTTAGGACCACATGCAGTGCTATTGTTTTAGCAGTAACTGTCAAACATAATTTAGAAAACTCAAGATATTAATGTCTAATTGCATTATAATCACACTGGCTTTCTTATTTTTAAAGGTTTATTTTTATTAGAAAGGCAGAAGAAGATAATCTTCCATCTGCTGATTCACTCCCCAAGTGGCCGCAATATCTGGAGCTGAGCTGGTCTGAAGCCAGGAGCCAAGAGCTTCTTCCTGGTCTCCCATGCAGGTGCAGGGTCCCAAGACCTTGGGCCGTCCTGGATTGCTTTCCCAGGCCACAAACAGGGAACTGGAAGGGAAGTACAGCGGCTGGGATATGAACCAGCCCTCATCTGGGATCCCGGCATGTGCAAAGTGAGGATTTTAGCCACTAGGCTATCATGCCAGGTCCTAGCTTTCTTAATACTTGCATGGTATATATATTTTTCATTTTATTTTTTATTATCCTATTATCTTAAAAAGTTACCTCAAATGTGTCTAGGCTTATAATAGATTTGCTGTATATAGCATAACTGGGGGGTGGCTTCTTTGTTCAACTGGACATTCTCTGATTTTTAATTCAGCCCATTTATAATTACTATAATCATCTATCTAGTTCAAGTGTCTTTTACTATTTGTTTCTGTTTATCTTTTCCATTGCTCTTCCTCTCTTGCCTTTTTTGTACCAACTAAATATATTTTTAGAATTGCATTTTATTTCCTATATTGATTTTTGTGTTAGTGATTAGAGATCACGACACAGCTCTTCTTTGTGACCTCCTTTGGAGGGACGGTATAGTACTTCAGGAGAAGTAAATTCCATTTACCTTCCAGTAGCATAATTCCATTTATCTCATTCCTCTCATCATTTGGCCTCTTACTGTCTTTTATTATTATTATTAATTGCTTATTTGAAAGGCAGAGTGGGAGAGAGAAGAGAGAGAGAAAATCTTCTGTCCTCTTGTTTACTTCCTAAACACCCACCAAAGCTGGGGGCTGAGCCGGTCTGACACCAAGAGGCAGGGACCAAAACACTTGAGCCAGCATCGCTGCCTCCCAGGTGTGTTAGCCAGAAGCTGGATCAGGAGCAAGTAACTGGGACAACAGCCAAAGCAGCTGCTTAAACCACTGAGATGCAACACTCACCCCACATCTCTAAACTTACACATTCTGTAAATCCAATGGAATAGTAAAGCTAACTCATTCTAAGTCATGAGAGATAGCTTAAATTTCCAGAAAACCTGTGATTGGTAGGTTGGAATTATCCATAGTAGGGACATTTACATCATAGAAAGAATAAAATGCTCTAAACTAGAGAAATTTGCCTCAGAGATTCCACTATAAAATATTATCAGGGGGCCCGGTGGCATGGCCTAACAGCTAAAGTCCTCGCTTTGAATGCGCCGGGATTCCATATGGGTGCTGGTTCTAATCCCGGCAGCTCCACTTCCCATCCAGCTTCCTGCTTATGGCCTGGGAAAGCAGTCGAGGACGGCCCAAAGCCTTGGGACCCTGCACCCACGTGGGAGACCTGGAAGAAGTTCCTGGATCCTGGCTTTGGATCGGCATAGCATCGACTGTTGCGCTCACTTGGGGAGTGAATCATCGGACGGAAGATCTTCCTCTCTGTCTCTCCTCCTCCTCTCTGTATATCTGACTTTCCAATAAAATAAACAAATCTTTAAAAAAATATATTATCAGAATCCCACTGGATAATCCCAAAAGACACTGTTATAATGTTCAAGTGAATAATCTTTTAAGGACTTATAACCAGGTATTTAAGTTGGGGAGGGCACGTGGCATGGTGGTAGACACACTTGCCTCCTTGGTCACAAGGTCTGAGTTCAAGTCCCAGCTTTGCTTCCAGTTCGAGCTGCTTGTGGATGTGCAGCTTTGGAAACAGTCGTAACGGCTCAAAGTACTCGACTTGTGGCCCGCAGGGGAGACCCAGGCAGAGCTTCAGGTTTCCAGCTTCGGCGTGGCCTACTCTGAGCTATTGTAGATGTTTGTGGGGTGTATCTATAGAAGGGAGGTTTTCTCCTATCTCTGTATCTCTGTCTTTTAAAGACATGGAAAATGAATAAATATTTTACATGTATATAAATAAAAATACTTTTTAAAAAGGTTTATTTATTTTTATTGAAAAGGCAGAGGAGAGACAGAAAGGAAGATCTTCCATCCAATGATTCACTCTAAGTGCTTGCAGTAGCTGGAGTTGTGCCGATCCAAAGCCAGGAGCCAGGAGCCCCTTCTGGGCCTCCCATGCCAGTGCAGGGTCCCAAGGCTTTGGGTCATCCTCGGACTACTCAACTGCTTTCCCAGGGCACAAGCAGGGAGCTGGAAGGAAAGCGGGACTGGCAGGATCAGAACCAGCGTCCATATTTGGATCCTGGCGCATTCAAGGCGAGGACTTTAGCAGCTAGGCCACCGCTCTGGGTCCAATAAAAATACTTTTTAAAAAAGATTTGGATTTTTTGGTTGGAAAGGCAGATATACAAGCTTCCATCCACTGATTTATTCCTAGTTGACCACTATGGTCAGAGCTGAGTCCATCCAAAGCCAGAAACATGGAGTTTCCTCCAGGTCTCCCTTGTAGGTGCATGGTCCCAAGACTTTTGGGCCATCCTCTGCTGTTTTAAGCAGAAAGCTGGATGGGAAGTAAAAGAGCCAGGAAATGAACTCACACCCTTAAGGATCCTGTCACCTCTAAGGGGAGAATTAGCCGATCAAGCCATTACGCCCAGCCCTTCTTACGCCCAGCCCATTTCTTACTTGCTGGTCTGCTGAAAATGCATTCTCTTACCTTCCGTTTATCTGAAAGCATCCTTCCCCTTGCCTTTGTTTTGAAGTTATTCGCACCAGGGGTAAAAATCTAGGCTGACTGTTGTGACTTCTTTCAGCAATGCAAAATCATCTTTCCAAGCTCTTAACATTTACATTGTTTCTGCTGAGGAGTGAGCTGCCGGGTCATCGGGTCATCGCTGCCCACATGTGTGCGACGTGCCCTCTGCACTCTCCTGAGTCCTCCCTGCCTCTGCTTCACAGCAGGCTGATCCCAATGCACTTTGTGTGGTTTCTGTTGTATC